GTGCTGTAGTGAAAGCTGCAGCTGTTTTATTGATAAAGTTAAAGACAAAAAACAAAAGGATTAATCACCCATGTAACTGTGTCACTATATATCAGCATTAACAGGACCTGAGTTTGGTGTTTCACAAAGCTGCTGATCTCAGACCTGCACAGCTTCTGTTTTAAACACTTGATGTACTCAGCTGCATGAAGAGCATATGAGATTTTCTCTAACACAATTAAATAAAACCTGATGAAGGTCAAAGGTCGTCACTTGTATGTTGAACTACAAACTTGTCATGTGGAATTCTTTCACAGTTTTTTGCAGATAGTGTGTTATTTACCATAAAGTGATTCAGAGTTATTCATACCAAAGTAACCAGAGAGGATCATATGTTTTTAAATATGTAACTTTCTACAGGACTGAATATATTATGTTTATGTAAAAGTCCGGAGCCATCTTTTGTGTGTGTGTGTGTGTGTGTGTGTGATTTACATTGCTGTGCTTGAGAGCCACCATCTACCGGAACCAAATTCCTTGTATGTGTCTGCACATATACTTGGCCAATAAACACGATTCTGATTCTGATCTGTTTGACCATCACCAGTTAATCTGTAACACCGGCAATATTTATTCCCTTGGTTTGTTGCTGTGTGTGATTGCCAGAAGGTGAGTTCTGATCGCATTATGTTATGTAGGTTAAATGCTCTTGGGTGTATTTGTTCACTTGAGTGTATGCAATTGCTGTTTTTGCAAAGGCACTATTCAAGCTACTAAGCTGTTGTGTTGCGACAACGCCGGTCTCTGCGATTCTTTTGGTCCTGGTAGAGATCACGCTGAGATGTTTCCATGTTTCACACAATCCTTTTATTACCCATTATTCTTACAGATGCATCTGGAGATCAGCACACTGCATCCTATGCTAAAGGCTGATCTAAAGAACTCCACAAAACAGTTACAGTTAAAACTTCTGGTCTCTTCCCCCCTACAGTAAACACCCCCACAATGGAAATAGATAAGATAAAACTTTATTAATCCCTCGGGTGGGTTCCTCTGGGAAATTCTGTTTCCAAAAGCACAGCACCGACAGAAGTTACAGAGTTACAGAATATTATACACACACACACACACATATATAAATAAAATATACGAAGGGGATAAATAGAATAAATAGGAATAAAAATACAAGTAAATTGCACATTTCAAGTATTGAGGTCTATTGCACCATTGACAATAAAAAGAAAACGTATTGCACAAAAGTACACTAGTACAGTGGCCAAGGGTGCTGACACCCTGACCCCCATCTCCTTTTAAGGTAGTGTCTCTTTTGCCCTTTGTCTGCCCCTCACCCTCAGTAACTCTTGCTTTCTCCCTGGGGGTGGGTGTTGATTGTCCTCCTGTCCTGCACCTCAGTTCTTTGTTCCCATCCCAGGCCCATTTTTCTATTTTGTATTCCCATTAACCGCCATATTGTAATATTACAACCAATCCCCAAATATATTCTCTTTAACTCTGATCTATATTAAGGAATCTACAGGGAGTGCAGAATTATTAGGCAAGTCGTATTTTTGAGGAATAATTTTATTATTGAACAACAACCATGTTCTCAATGAACCCAAAAAACTCATTAATATCAAAGCTGAATGTTTGTGGAAGTAGTTTTTAGTTTTAGCCATTTTAGGGGGGTATCTGTGTGTGTGCAGGTGACTATTACTGTGCATAATTATTAGGCAACTTAACAAAAAACAAATATATACCCATTTCAATTATTTATTTTTACCAGTGAAACCAATATAACATCTCCACATTCACAAATATACATTTCTGACATTCAAAAACAAAACAAAAACAAATCAGCGACCAATATAGCCACCTTTCTTTGCAAGGACACTCAAAAGCCTGCCATCCATGGATTCTGTCAGTGTTTTGATCTGTTCACCATCAACATTGCAGCAGCAGCAACCACAGCCTCCCAGACACTGTTCAGAGAGGTGTACTGTTTTCCCTCCTTGTAAATCTCACATTTGATGATGGACAACAGGTTCTCAATGGGGTTCAGATCAGGTGAACAAGGTGGCCATGTCATTAGTTTTTCTTCTTTTATACCCTTTCTTGCCAGCCACGCTGTGGAGTACTTGGACGCGTGTGATGGAGCATTGTCCTGCATGAAAATCATGTTTTTCTTGAAGGATGCAGACTTCTTCCTGTACCACTGCTTGAAGAAGGTGTCTTCCAGAAACTGGCAGTAGGACTGGGAGTTGAGCTTGACTCCATCCTCAACCCGAAAAGGCCCCACAAGCTCATCTTTGATGATACCAGCCCAAACCAGTACTCCACCTCCACCTTGCTGGCGTCTGAGTCGGACTGGAGCTCTCTGCCCTTTACCAATCCAGCCACGGGCCCATCCATCTGGCCCATCAAGACTCACTCTCATTTCATCAGTCCATAAAACCTTAGAAAAACCAGTCTTGAGATATTTCTTGGCCCAGTCTTGACGTTTCAGCTTGTGTGTCTTGTTCAGTGGTGGTCGTCTTTCAGCCTTTCTTACCTTGGCCATGTCTCTGAGTATTGCACACCTTGTGCTTTTGGGCACTCCAGTGATGTTGCAGCTCTGAAATATGGCCAAACTGGTGGCAAGTGGCATCTTGGCAGCTGCACGCTTGACTTTTCTCAGTTCATGGGCAGTTATTTTGCGCCTTGGTTTTTCCACACGCTTCTTGCGACCCTGTTGACTATTTTGAATGAAACGCTTGATTGTTCGATGATCACGCTTCAGAAGCTTTGCAATTTTGAGACTGCTGCATCCCTCTGCAAGATATCTCACTATTTTTGACTTTTCTGAGCCTGTCAAGTCCTTCTTTTGACCCATTTTGCCAAAGGAAAGGACGTTGCCTAATAATTATGCACACCTGATATAGGGTGTTGATGTCATTAGATCACACCCCTTCTCATTACAGAGATGCACATCACCTAATATGCTTAATTGGTAGTAGGCTTTCGAGCCTATACAGCTTGGAGTAAGACAACATGCATGAAGAGGATGATGTGGACAAAATACTCATTTGCCTAATAATTCTGCACTCCCTGTATTCTCAACAGTTGTAAACTAGTCCAAACATCTGGCTATGGGGTGCCGGGCCGGCGGCGCGATCGTTGCTTCCTCCCCACGGATGGCTCCGATGGGCCGGGCAAACTTGTGATTTTTTTCCCCACCACTGAGCGATTAAAACTGACTTTTTGGTTTCTCCACCTGCTGAATCTCACTTTAACCTCTGACTGTGCTCATTTTCCTGTTAAGAGGCAAAGGCACTTTGTACAATAATGGCATTAAAAAAATTGCAATTTAAAAAAAAAATCCTTCTTTTTCTTTTGACTCAAGTTGAATACGATTAGAATTATTACATTACTATAGCACAAGGTTCAGTTAGCTTTATAAAAAAAAAATAGGTGGGAGAAATGTCCTGCAAAGAACTGCTTTTTACTTTTTTTTTACTTTGAGTACATTTCAAAGCCTATACTTAATTACTTTTACTTGAGTAAAAAAGTTGAACCAGTACTTCAACTTTTACTGTAGTAAAGTGTTTTTTAACACTAGTGTCTGTACTTCTGCTTAAGTACAGAATGTCTAGACTTTTGCCACTTTTGACTGGTTCTCACATACCTGTATTTAGCCACGTTCCTGTTAAAAATGATTGTAGAAGTTGTGATCAACTCAACTGTAACAACAGAAAAATATTTTTAAAGGAGTCAGGGTTTCTTTTTATTATTCCTGTCAAACATTTATCACATTTTTATGGAGATGAATGTGTTTGAAAACACTTTAATTTGTTTACTGCCTCATATACCAACTACTACACCTGCTGCACCCTCTCACCTCTGATGGTATTTGAGGGAGAGAAACAACTGAAATTAACATAAACTTAAATGCAACATAAGCATCATGTCAGTGGCTGCATTATCTGTATGTTTCGGATCATTATCCTCCTGCATTGACTGAAACTGAAGGACTGTTTGTTAACTTCGGTGAGAACTCTGACATTTCTAAACTGAAGTTTATTTATATAGAAGAAAGTGTTAACAAGCTTAAACGTTGATGTGAGCAGTAAATAAAGGGTTAAACTATCAGTATCAGTATCGCTCTCTAACTGCTCCTCTTCCTGGAGTGAAGCACAGCCTGATAACCCTCCCTCTTCTTCCTGCTCTTAAACACAGCACCTCCTCTCTGTCCACGTGTTTCCTCGTTCCCTCCCCCTCAGATCTGCACTTTGAAGATGGGTGTAACCAACATGTGGTGACGTGTAAGAGCTGAAAGGCTCCATTCACTGCAGAAACATGTTGTTGAGATCAGAGCTCAGACTAGTTTCAGTTATAAGGAAGAGAAACTCACACAGTCACTGACACTGAGAGGAGAAATGGCGCAGAAAGGACTTCAGCTGGATGAAGAAATCTTCTCTTGTTCCATCTGTTTGGATCTACTGATAAATCCGGTGACTATTCCCTGTGGACACAGCTACTGCATGAACTGTATTAAAGCCCACTTTGATGAAGAGGACAGGAAGGGAATCCACAGCTGCCCTCAGTGCAGGAAGACTTTCACACCGAGGCCTGTCCTGGAGAAAAGCACCATGTTAGCAGAGTTGGTGGAGGAGCTGAAGAAGACTGGACTCCAAGCTGCTCCAGCTAATCTCTGCTATGCTGGACCTGAAGATGTGGCCTGTGATGTCTGCACTGGGAGGAAGCTGAGAGCCATCAAGTCCTGTTTAGTCTGTGTTATCTCGTACTGTGAGAAACACCTCCAACCTCACTATGATGCAGCTCCATTAAAGAAACACAAGCTGGTGGCCCCCTCCAAGAAGCTCCAGGAGAACATCTGCTCTCGTCATGATGAGGTGATGAAGATTTTCTGTCGTACTGATCAGCAGAATATCTGTTATCTCTGCACGATGGATGAACATAAAGGCCATGAAACAGTCCCAGCTGCAGCAGAAAGGACTGAGAAGCAGAAGGAGCTCGAGGTGAGACGACTAAACATCCAGCAGAGAATCCAGGAGCGAGAGAAAGATGTGAAGCTGCTTCAACAGGAGGTGGAGGCCATCAATGGCTCTGCTGATAAAGCAGTGGAGGACAGTGAGAAGATGTTCACTGAGCTGATCCGTCTCCTCCAGAAAAGAAGCTCTGATGTGAAGCAGCAGGTCAGATCCCAGCAGGAAACTGAAGTGAGTCGAGTCAAAGAGCTTCAGGAGAAGCTGGAGCAGGAGATCGCTGAGCTGAAGAGGAAAGACGGCGAGCTGGAGCAGCTCTCACACACAGAGGATCACAACCAGTTTCTACACAACTACCCCTCACTGTCAGCACTCAGTGGGTCTACACACTCATCCAGCATCAATATTCGTCCTCTGAGCTACTTTGAGGATGTGACAGCAGCTGTGTCAGAGACCAGAGATAAACTACAGGACATTCTGAGAAAGGAATGGACAAACATCTCACTGACAGTCACTGAAGTGGATGTTTTACTGTCACCACCAGAGCCAAAGACCAGAGCTGGATTCTTAAAATGTTCACATGAAATCACACTGGATCCAAACACAGCATACACACATCTGTTATTATCTGAGGGGAACAGAAAAGCAACATTTATGAACCAACAACAATTTTATTTTGATCATCCAGACAGATTCACTGGATGTTATCAGGTTTTGAGTAGACAGACTCTGACTGAATGTTGTTACTGGGAGGTGGAGTGGAGAGGGAGAGGAGTTTGTGTAGCAGTCACATTGAAGAATATCAGCAGAAAAACGGGCCTAAATGAATGTTTTCTTGGATACAATGACAAATCTTGGGCATTACGTTGTGACACAAACAGCTATAAATTTTGGCACAACAAAGTCCCAACTGTCCTCTCAGGTCCTCCGTCCTCCAGAGTAGGAGTGTACCTGGATCACAGAGCAGGTATTCTGTCTTTCTACAGCGTCTCTGAAACCATGACTCTCCTCCACAGAGTCCAGACCACATTCACTCAGCCGCTCTATGCTGGAATTCGGTTTTGTCACTCTGATGGAGACACTGCAGAGTTGATTAAAGTCAAATAGAGAAGACAGGTTCATGTTGATCCCTGACCATTATATGTACTTGTGTAGTTTCTAAATGAGGCTTTACATTTTAGAAGCTGAGAAGTTCAGTGGTCCATTGATGTGTGAAAATAATATTGCACTGATTCAAACTGTACTTACATTTATATACCTTACATCAATATAAATCTGAATTTGTTCTTATGGCTGATAACCATGGCACAACCTCAATTCCAATAAAGTTGAGACATTGTGCCAGATCTGTTTCATCTCAATTCAGAACCAAGAAATTCAAGGTCATCCATGTCTTTATGTCTTTAAGGCATTCCTGCAGTTAATTGTTTTTGCCATCTAGTGCTATGGATAGATAAAGATGGGTTACATCTGCATAGCAATGAAAATATGACATGCCTCCCAATCATACTGCGTAAGGGAAACTATATAATGTAAACAAAGTATAGTTAAACTTTTTAAATATAAAAACAAATTATACGGACCTGTATATTGTGGAGAATAGAAATGTTTATTTGCCCTAAGCTGAGTCCTTTAAATAGTTTAATCTGACTGAATGTGCAGCTGCTGTACAGAGACACAGTGGGTTAAGTTTGAACAGTTTCTGTTTTAAAAGTTGGAATGTTTGGCTGTACATGGAAATATTTATCGTGCACTCACACAATTTTGACTCTTTCTGCGTGGAAATAGTAGCTTTTGACTTCGTGGTGTTTGAAATGAGGGAAGATACAAAAGTAAAATGTGTAGCAAACATGTGATAGAATTATACAATGGAATGACCATAAAAATCCCAAAACTGACCTTGACCATAAAATTGACAAATGGACTTTAATAATGCATTTCTGTGTTCAGCAAGTCACGATGAACCTGAAATCTGATTAACCCTTTAAGACCTACCATAGAACCAAGTCCGCCAGAGCTTATATTATTTTTACATGCTGTGAGCATTTTTGGAGCATTTCAGTTGTATCATATAACATTATGCAGATTTTTATTATTATTTTAGTATTAATAATTGCAAAAAGTGCATAACTACAAAAATTTAAATCGTTTTTTTTTTTTATATTTGTGTTAGAAATTTAGAGTTTATCTCAACTGTAATACTTCAAATTTTTACAGGAATTTATTTTGTTTTATTTTTTTTTGAATACAATTTTTATACACTGCAGAAAAACGAAAATAATATTATACTGCAATTTGCAGCATATGCATCAAAATAAACTATTTCCAGCAGTGCAATGTGAGTCCTAATCATCCCAGAAACGACACAGAAAGTCATAAAGTCAAAGATAACTTTTAAAAAGAGCAGTATAGGCCCTGAGGCCCTGATCGCAAAAAAGACTACATTTCCGCGAAAATCACGTCACTTCCGGTTTCGGGCAGGTAATGGCGGAAATGCAAAAGTTCGCGCTGACGTCTATTCCAACGTAGGAAGTGTTTTGAACAGCTGATCAGATCGGTAAAGCGTGTTTCTGGAATATTATGTTTTTGTTCCTGCAAGCGCTTTTTATGCAGTTTTTGCAAAGCTTTATGTGGAAGGAAACCGTGACCTAGGACAAGCTGATGGCATCAGATGTAAGTACAACTCCTCCGGTTTCATATGCAAAAAAAATTTTTGCGCTAGCTTACGTGGTTGCAGTGCTACTGGGATTTAAAAATAGTTACGCATAACAGAGCGTTCCCGCTCCGATCGGCTCTAAAGGGTTAATAACACAAGAGATGTGCCTTCACCCTGCTAAAAGGGATGGAGTGGTAGCTCAGCTCAGATTGTCCACATGTTTTGCATTCTGCTATGTTTTCAGGCTGATTAAAGCTTAAATAATAAAGTGCATTGTGTCATTAATCATGGTAATCTGCATCAGAATTTCAGAAATGTGTCTGTCCTGCACCTGGTGAAATCTGTCATCAAATCAGAACATTAACAGTGTATTAAACACATATTACTGTGCATCATGTCATCAGGAATGTTTTTGAAAAGAATTATAAGACACTAGTGATTTTAATGTATTTTAATATATTTAATGTTTTTAATGCATTTAATGTATTTTAATGTGTGCAATGTATGTCTGTAACACATTTCATTTTTTCCCACAAGAATAAACATGTAATTTATGTCTATTTCATTTCTTTTTTTGTTTTTACTGGATTATGAATAATGTAAATGAATAATATTCAGGCACCTCATTGAACGGTTTTCTCCCCACATACATACCTAATATGTATATATTAGTATTACTAGTATATTAATATATACCTAATATGGAACAATAAGGACATCTATTATAATGTTTTTATTATCATACAAAGAATTTGTGGACAAATTCAAAATATCCAAAAGAATCTGCTGTAGTTTTTGATGCTGTAGCAAAAAGTGTCCTCATATTTACACTACCAGCCAAAAGTAGCCACCTTTAGCAGACATAACAGGCGAGCACACTTGTGGCATTCTTTCTACAATAGAAATTAAACATTCTTCAGAAAGTTCTTCCCATATCTGTTGCAAAAGTTCCGATAAATGTGTGGCACTTGTAGGTTGCTTTGCTTTCTCTCTTCTGTCCAGTTCATCCCAAACAGTGGGGTAAGTCTGGATACTGTGCTGGACACTGCATATTTTCAAGCTTACCAACTTGTTCTTTTTTCCTGAAATAGTTCTGGCATAGCTTGGACTTATGTTTTGGTTCAGGGTTCCTCTCACTCTGTACAAGTCATCGACCCTGGATCCAGCAACACAGCCCCAGATCATCACACTTCCTCCTCCACGTTTCACAATTGATGCCACACACTGTGGAACCATCCTTTCACCTTCTTGATGGTGTACAAAGATTCTGCGTGATGAACCGAAGATTTCAATACCATCTTCCAGTCATCAGTAGTCCACTGGCAGTATTTTATGGTCCAGGATCAACCTCCATTGCTGCAGAACATCTTTAAATTGATAACCCATTTTATGCTCACTGAAAAGGGCATTTTTGTATTATTCTGAAATGTACATTATTTTTCAGTTTTGGGTAACCTCCTTGTATTTATTCTTTTAAACAGCAGCTAAAGACTCATTTATTTAGACTGGCTTTTAACTAGAGTTGTGCTGTATGAGCAGTTTTATTGTTTTATATACATCTGTTTTATATTATTGTGAAGCATGCTGCGGTTCTTGTGAAGAGTTTGAAATAAATAAAGTTTTAATTATTGTTATTATTATTATTATTATTATTATTATTATTATTATTATAACCTTACCTTTTTTAACCTCTGGCAGTTCATCACTTACATTTGTACCTTTTCAATCTTTTCATTGGACTTTAACATTGCAATAACTAGAATAATTGGTGTGTTCTAAAACTTTTGAACGGTAGTGAGTACAATTCAATTCAGACAGCAGAGGGAAGTGACTTATCAGGAAGTGAAATAAGAGCAGAAGTTGATGGCGGGAGAGAGGTTGAAGGCTATGATAGAGCTGAATGAAAATCAAACATTAGGCGACAACGGAAAAATAAATAATAAATAAATAAGCCGTTGTGAAATTAAGTCTGTAATGTGAAGGAAAAGGACAGTGAGCGCAGTGTAACCGTGAAAACGAGACACGAGGACGGATTTAAAGCGATCATAAAATCGTCTTAAAACGGACCGTGGTTCAGTGAGTGGAACCAGATTCAGCTACAACAGCGATACATAAGCCTGCAGAGAGATGAAGAGTGCTAAAATACAGAGAAACGGATCTGATGAGTGTTTGTAGGGATGTGGTTCAGCAAGTTAAAGACACACGACTCCATAACATGCTGCCTGATCCATAAGAGAGTCACATATATGTATGGCTTTTTGTCAAACGTGGTTAATTCCCCCAGGGATCAATAAAGTATTCTGATTCTAATTGTTTGGTTTATTGTTTGTTGGAAAGCCATTTCTCCCATGGCGCTCGGTTTCCTTTTGAAACGTTTTGAACAAAGATTTAAAATGACTAAATTTTGCTTTGCGGATGTGATAGTTACCTAGGATTATTAATAGGTTGTTTAAATTTAATTCTCTTGTTATTTTTTATCATTGTGGAAACCAAACATTACATCATTCCAGCACAAAGAAAAGTTAGTCAATATTTTCAATAATGAGTCACGCTAGATCATTCCAGAAGGTGCAGGAGTAGGGACACTACCAAACCACGTGCATCAAGGTCTCTGGATGAATTTCATAGAATGAGCAGTCCAAACGTATCTTTCTTAAAAAAGTTAGAAGAATTGATTGACAGGGTAACATCTATTTATGTTTTTAAGAGAAACCTGCCTTATGGAAGTGTCCACATCTTTCCTCAAATGATGTGGACAGTGAGAGATAAGGATAAAGGTCACTCTTTCGAGGATACTAATGTTCACATATTGGACAGAGAGGACAGATGGTTTGAAAAAGGAGTAAAAGAATTCATTTATTTCCACTGTGAGCGACCATCTTTGAACAGGGGCGGTGGCTTACGACACCAACTGTCTGTCATCTATAATTCAGTTTTAAGATCTCTTCCCAGATCCCTTAACACCCACTCACGCCCTGGGCCACCTGACCTCAGGAAATCACATGATAGGGTGGGGCCAGGTTTCACAATGCGCTCAACCGAAACCCTGGCTGATTGTGATCCACACCCGTTTTCACACTTTGGCTCATGTGATTAGTTAGAGTATCATTAGGGGGTCCTTTGTTCCTCTCGGGGGGGGGAACGACGACTCTCCACCATTTGACCCTGAAACCCTGAAAAAGTCCAGACGCTTTTCTTTCCCAGCTCCTTAGACTATCATTAAGAATCATATGTAGAATATTTGGCAGGAATATTAAGACACAGTTGACACAGGAATATGTCTACACAGTATCTAAAAGTGTGTAGGTTTGAGCAGAATGCAGTGCAGGAACTGGAACAAGGAACTCTCATACATTGCATGGAAAACCTCCCCATAGGTCTCAGCTTTTATGCACCAGAAACTGTTGAACATGCACTGATCATCTCTAGCAAGGATGAGGGAGAAAGAAGAGAATGGTAGCCGTTTTCCACTAGTATCTACTTGACCTGACTTAATTTTATGGGTTAACCATTAATTGGTAATACCTGGTACCAGGTACTTTTTAGTATGTACTCGGCCGAAGTCCCAAGAAATTTGAGGTGATCCAAAATTCGACACACCTATTGGCCAGTCAGTGACTTGATTCAAGTTTTGAGAGCTTCTCCTTCACAAAAATAAAACAGATATTTCTGAAACCCAGCAATGAGGAAAATGGCTACAAAAAAACTGTGATCCCTGAGTCTCACAAAAAAAAACCACGCACTGAGCAGCATGTATACCAGGGGTCTCAAAGTTACATCTGCTGTGGGCCACTGCTGGCACTGTCATCTTATGTGAGGGCCACTTTAGTGAACAAAAACAAACAAACAAGGAAACACCCACTAATACTTCTGAAAATGTAGTGTTTTGTTTGTTTTTTAACATTTCAAATATTGTATACCACGACAAAACTTCAAACATAAAACTAATTTGTTCCCTCACTCTTAACTAATTGAAGCCTTTTATTGAACTACCAAATAAGCAAATTGGTCCTCTTTTTCGGGCCAGACATGTGGCAGCACTTCTGCTATCATTTTGTTCCTATCTAACAAAATAAAAATGCAGGTGTAAGTGTTTTTGACTGCTAGTGAAAACTGTTTTCTTTACAAATAACTCTCTCACTGCACTAACACAGCCAATTCCTCAACTTGTTTGTACTCTCTGCTCATATTGCCTTCATATTAAATCTTTTTTTTTGCCAGCAGTCTGTGCAGATCAACCGTCAGCACAGACTGCTGGATATCAGCCGGAAACCCGACAGAAACTCACACATCATAGGTATGGACATGTTTTTAACTCTGTACGGTTGAATGTGTGTTCTTGTTTCATC